CCTGGGGTGGAAATGTACAGCTGCGTATCATCAGCGTACTGATGGAAATCCACCCCAAAGCCACGAATGATCTCCCCCAGCGGCTTTACATAAATATTGAACAAAAGGGGGGAGAGGACCGACCCCTGAGGTACCCCACAAGTTAGGGGTCTAGGAGTCGACCTCTGTCCCCCCGCCAATACAGACTGCGTTAGTTAGACTAGAAGACCTCCAAGGTCCCTTCCAACTCTGTTGTTCTGTTATTCTTGCTTACTAACTTCTTCCCTGCCATGCTCACTTCCTCACCTGCCCATCTCCCCTCAACTTTCTCTTTTTTAACATATAATGTGTTTGTTTCCTGAGGGCAACAGGTGTGACAGAGTGCAGGGCAGCCAAAACAGCAGAGATGAGGGGGATTTTTAAAAATTATAATTGTAAATGCAGGGAGTGCTGTCAAGCACCTGAATTTTGGTCATGTGATCGTGGGGGCACTGAAACAGCCACAACTTCAAGGACCAGCCATAAGTACCATTAGTTCCAAGTTGTAACTTTGAATGGTTGTTAAACAAATCATCATTAAGCTACATAAAGGATTTAATACTTTATGATATACTTCCTGAAATGTTTCAGTGGGTGCAGTATGCAGCTAACTTTGTTTGGGGCTGGAAACTATGCAGGGTCAGGATTAATTATAATTATAATAATAATTTGGAACTCCAACAAGGAGTTTGCTGAATTAGTAGTTGGATGGGAAACCATGAGGAACAGCGATTACAGTGAACATATAAGAAGGCAGTGGCAATGTAAACTGCAGGAGTTGTGTTCAACAGACAAATAATAAAGAAAAATTATCTGCTTTAAAGAAAGTCAGATCAATTCAACATTAAGGATCTGCCCAGATTCTGGAATTAAATGTAACTGGGGGCAAAAATCTATCTTAAGATGAAATTATTTATATAAGTATGATATACTTATATCATACAGCATCTTCAAGATTAGGCACTTGTACGCATGACTGAAAAAGTCTTGTGTAATGCAGTCTGAGGAACTGTTAGCCACCAAGTATGAGTGGGTGGAGAAACTTACCCTAGAAATGCCAACAATCTGCTCATCTGGAAGTAAACTGATGCGCACAAAACAGGATTCAAAATTAACATCTTCCTTCTCCATCAGATCTTTTCCCTGCAGCAATGTGATATGCAGGGTATTCGAATTCACATTGTATTCCATGTTAACTTCGATTTGTCCCACTGTGAATTCCTGGCCAAAGTTATTTCCAATGGAGGAGACAGAAGTTAGAGAGTCAGTGGAGATTGATTTTTTCAATGGCCCGTAAGGAGTCAGCTCGAGGTCTTTGTTCATCAGCTCCAAGGTGCCTAACTCGTTAATATTTTCAAAGGCATCATCCATTTTCAAGCTTTGCTTGCAGACAGGAGATATTCTTTCTCCTGGCTTTCGAAAGTTGCTTGTTGCCTTCTGCAAACAATGAGAAAAAACAGACAGCTAGTCAGAGATCAGGGTTAACTTGCACTTCAGAGGGCTGAATGTAGAACATACAATTTTAATTATTTATAAACATAGGCTGGCAGAAAGAGAAACTCATTGTTTAAACTGTGTCTGAAACGTGTAGTCTGTAGATAATGCCTTATTGAGAGTCAGATTAGTGCAAATAGCTTAGTTCTGTCTACATTAAATAGCAGCAGCTCATCGGAGATTTAGGTTAGGGCAGTGATGGCGAACCTTTTAGAGTCTGAGTGCCCAAACTGCAACCCAAAACCCACTTATGCATCGTCGAGTGCCGGGTGGGTGTGGCCCATTGGGTGGGCATGGCTGCGGTGGTAACGGCAGACTGGGTGGGACTAAAAAGTTCAATCAATTCCAACTTTGCAAGATCTTTTTTTCCCCCGCGAGAAGTTGAAATTGACTGATTGAACCTTTTTTTTTTTTTGCACACGGTGGTGGAGGCCTAAAGCGAAAAGGTTTTATAAAACCCAGCTGAAGGCCTAGGACTGGGGCAACGGTGCGCGTGCCCACAGAGAGGGCTCTAAGTGCCGCCTCTGGCACCCGTGCCATAGGTTCGCCACCACTGGGTTAGGGTCTTCCCAGATCTATCCTGACAAGAACTAAAATGGACATATTCCACATGCCAAACTCACATTCTACTACTAGACTACAACTGTTTCTAGCGCTTGTTAATTTAATTAAAAAATCACTAATACCAGCAATTCTCCCGGCAACTTTTGCACAATGCAAAAAATCAGATTCTGAAATAAAAACACCTCTCTTGCCTTCAGACATCTGCACATCTATAGACAGGTAATCTTGACTCTGCTACATAAGGTAAAATTAGAATTATGGCTTCACCTTTTAAAACTCTCATCTGTGAGGCCCTATATTAATTCTGACTGAAGATCAATAATCCAACATACACAGCCTCAGGTTTTCATTTGTTTGCCAATGTTAACAACTTTACTGAAGGCTTCAAATGCATCTAATCTCTGCTTCCTGCTTTGCCATGTTCCTACCTCTCTGCTTGCCTATGCTTTAGATATCAAAATAAAAATGTTTGTTATACCCATTCATCAGCCAAACTATGGAGAAAAAAAAGGCAAAACTGCATTTTGGAAGGAAATGTATTATCTTATAACATTCCCACAAACCAATTTCCAGAGGACTGTCTAAGCTATTTTATTTATGTACTCCCAAAGAAAATATAGGCCAAAATATTCTCACTCAAGCAAACAGGAATATTTAATATTAACATTTAGAGAGTCTTTCAGATCTTAGTTCTTTGACTTGATTTTACAAAAAGATTCCTTCCCAGAACAATTTGCATTTTAAGATGGACTCTGAATTGTTGACTTCTTGGCTGAAATTTGGGACTTTCTGACTTCTTTTCCATCCCTTGCTTTTCTAACATCCTGCCTGAATGAAAATTCCAACGCTTTTCCAATTGTTTAAGGCATTTTGCTTCACTCTAGTAAAAACAAAAACATTCAACTATGAATTTTGGGGCACAGGGGGTGTTTCATGGAGTAACATAGCTGTATTATTTGTTAGGCATTTATAAGAAAACATCCAAGAGAAATCTGACCATGGTCATTCTTTCACTGAATTCTGTAGTGTTGGTTTTAGAGATTTGGAAAGGAGGTTGTTGAATGGCCAGAAAAAAACAGTTAGAATTCATCAAACTTATTGGTCTACTCTCAGTTGATCATCACCAGGGAGATTTAAATTGTAGCCTCTATTTAAGATCGTATTGAATTACTTTAATTTATTTTTATTTTTTTTAATGTAAAAAATTTGGAGAATTTCTTTTTTACTTCTCTGGTTTTTTTTTTTGGGGGGGGGGGGGAAATACAGGTTAACCAAAGAGCAGGATCTTTTCTACCATGGGACTTCTGCTAGCTAGAAACCAGTTGTAAGTATAATTGCAAATTTACAGTACCTCCTTCTCTAAAGTTAAATCAGGTCTCTCTTCTTTATATATATATAGATATATAGATATATAGATATCTAATATATCCTATCTAATTGTCAAAATCTCAGATCTGAAGTTCATTTTTTTTTGCACAAAAAGTCCATAAGAGGTTTCCAGTCAGCAGTAAACACAGATATTATCATTTCTGTAATCAAACAGGTCAGTTTGGGAATCAATGTTGAATTTTCTTTAAGTCTTTCACCAATTCAAACGTGCATTCTTTTATACTGCATTAGAATAGGTGTTTGCGTTTTACTGGATTATTCATACTATTGTGTTCCATTAATAACAAATCTTGAGTTTGTGCTTGACATGAATCTTGCCAAGATTCAATATATCAGGGGATGGTGAGTGAGATATAAAATATAAAACCAAGCTGAATGTTAAGTCCTCTCCTTGCTCAGGCCTTCTCCTTAAAAAAAACCCTCTTTCCTGCCCCCTATTTTTTTTTTATGGTACAATTATTTGTTTTGAGTGGTCCCATCAAAGGCAAATGGTTGGGGGGGTGGATTTAAGAAAAGCAAAGAGGAAAAAGAAAGTTTAATAATCCATCTCACCCATTGTTTCAGTACCTTTAAGTTTCCCTCAGGTGCTATCACCATCATTATTGCAAATTTTACCTTTTTAATTCGGTAGAAGAATGTTTTAACCAATTCAGTATTATCGCAAAATTTTTATTTAAGATAACTGAGCATTTATAAGCAATTAAACAAATCAGCAAATGAAAAGGGCTGTAGCTGAAGGGCTAAAGTTCTTCTGAGTCTTTTCTGTCTGTAACTGTCTCTTTAGATAACAGCTATTGATTTCTTACATTTCTTACATTTATATATTGCCAACCTGGCCAGTGCACATAGCAGTTCACAGGCAAAAACCAAGGATTCATAATGTAATAGCTACAATATAAAAAAGGAGGGGGGAGAGAGAAGGGAGAAAAACTAATTAATTCAGGAACCATGTGAGAGATGGGGAAGAGGAAGTGCCAAATGGCAGATGGTTTCAGCCTTTGCTACCAATGCAAGACCCTGTGTCCTTCCACCACCATAGCTGTGGTGGTGCAGTGGTTAGAATGCAGTACTGCAGGCTGACTCTACCCACAGCCAGGAGTTCGATCCTGACAGGTTAAAAGGTTGACTCAGCCTTCTATCCTTCCGAGGTCGGTAAAATGAGGACCCAGATTGTTGGCAGCAATATGCTGACATTGTAAACCAATCAGAGAGTATAGTAAAGCATTGTAGAGCAGTATATAAGTCTGAGGGCTAGCACTATATTTTATGCCTAGTTGAAATAATTGCTCAATGTTCTTTTCATAAACCTACCCCAGTCTTTTCAAAATATATACAGTTCTGTTATTATGATCATCATTATCTCAACTTGCAATATACAAGACAAAATTAAGAGTTGGATGTTCATTAAATGATGTTAAATGATGTTTGATGACATGCAAAGAGGATGGATGGATGTTGCAACTGATGGGCTTCTTAACACTGTTGTCACAATTAACTGCTCCTTACCTTTTGTTTGATTTGAGAATAGGTGGACCCATACTTTTGTTCTAGGTATCTGTAGTCATAGTTTGGAAATGGAGAAGGTGCAGGATAGCCACCCGATTTCCATAACTTCCATAGATTTACTCCAGCTATTCCCAGAAGAGCAAGAGCACCAGTAATATAGAGACCTATTTCCCACCCAGATGGATTTCTTATGACTGGAAGAAAACAAAGTTCTTATCAGAAGAAAGCAGCCACCAGAGCCTTTCCATCCTGCAGAAACATTTTATGTCAACAGTACAAATATGCCTTTTATGTGATTAATGCTGTTGGAAAAAGAGGGAAATTGATAATGCCAAAGGAGAGGTTTTTTTCCTTGAAAACTGTTGTAAACTAGCAGGAATATATGGCAAAGCACAAATACGTTTTTATTTTTAAAACTAAATGACAGCATCATTATGTAGGCATACACTGTATTCAGCAAAAATGCAAATGCCTTAATAATTTCTATTAAGAACCCCGTAACACATTCTAAAATATATTTGCTTTTTTAATCTTTGCAAATCCTTTATCAGGCTGAGTATCAATTTTTAAAATTGACCAATGTCTCCTTGTAGTGATTAG